GCAAACACAAACACACACAGTCTAATCTGAAAAGCTGCATTGTGCTAGTGGAGTAAGTCCTGCAAGAATTTTGAAAAACCATGCTACTTTTAAAAATACTCAGAATCTGAAATGATTTAAAATCATGTCATTCTAGAGATATTTTGGCAGCTTCAAGAAAAGGTGAAAATCATAGTGTCAACCCTGAAGCTGACCTGGCTGAAGCCATCTTCAAGCTTCATTGCTCCCACACTAGAGCTGTGGGATAGGGAGGGGGGGATTAGAGATAGCTGGTGTTGTGTAGTCAAAATAAATACTTTCTCTTGGGAACCAAGGACTTTCTCACACTTGACTGGAGAAAGGAGGAGTAATGTCACCAGACCAGCGGAGCTGCCTTGATTGGATCAAGTGATTGTTTGGGGTTGAGGGAAAAACTTTTACTTTTAATTACATGAAAACCAAGGGGCCCCTCAGTTGGTTTTCACCAGATATATGCCAATAAAGCTATTAATAAATAAAGCTATTCTTTGGGAAATTCATTTGACTCGGAGTTTTTGCTTGCAATGGATCTATTACTTGGAACCCTGACACACAGTTCAGGGTATCAAGAAATCCTCTTTAGGGTTGGGAATATTAAAAAAAACAACAGACAAGATAGTTGAAACTGATCATAGGCTGTACTGTGTGCTGCTTAAAAGGAATTCTTAATATAAACAAATGCAAAATACCAATGAAATGTAAGTGTTAAAATATAAGTTCTTAGGGTATTTGTGACAGCAAACAGAAATCCAGCATCTGATGGGGCACGATCAGTGAATTTCTATAAGCTTTTTTTTAAATTCAGAAAACAGCACTGCAGTGTTCTTTCTCTGTAAGTGCTACATAGTTTGCTGTTTACCATTTAGTGAGATCAAAATGCAACCAAGTGCGGTATAACAATTGAAAATTAATGTGGCATTTCATGTTCTCATGCTTCAATTAAACTATAGAGGGCTTGTCTATAAAAAATGGATAGGCATGGAAGAATGAACAATAAAGCTGTCTTCTTGTGACATTTTCCTTTACAAAAAATTGAACGAGGTCTGAGGATTAAGGTATGGCAAAGCTGATCATGCCTGAAGAGGGAAATGCCTTGCTAATCATGTTACAGGCAAAGTAACTGCATTATTATCTAAGAATGAGCTGGCTTGGCAGCAACACATGTGCAAAACATTTGGGTGTCTTAGGCTGCATCCCTTTCCACATTTAGCTTGGATTAAGGTCAATTAAATTTAATAGAGCTTACTTCCAAATAAACATGCATATAGTTAGTGAATCACAGTATTATTGTGATAGTTATAATCCACAAGTGAAATGCTGCTACAAAATTATATATAGTTTGGCTTCAAGCTGTAACACATTTTAACAAAATCCTTGTATCAAGGTTATAGGGAGAAATTGTTATTTTATTCCCAAGCTACCTTAGGATTATTATGTCCAGTTCTGGATGTCATATTTTAAGAAAAGCATTGTTAAATTTGAATTTATAGAATGATGATGTGGCTTAAAGAAATTGCTCAATATGGAAGAAGGGAATATTTGAAATATTGTCATATGGAAGACAGCAGATTTGTTCTTGGATACACTAGTGGGTAGGACAACAGTTAATGGATTTAAATTGCAATGACATTAAAAGAAAGAATCTTTTAAATGTGAAAACTTAACAGAATGAGAAGAGAGAAACAATATGTACAGTAAAAGAAAGGCAATGCCTTTTTTTTACTGTACATGTTTTGTTTGTATATAATGGACATAACCATGAAATCACAAAGTGTCAAGCTAAGTTTGAAGAAATCTTTACCTTTCCTTTTTCCTTTTTATTTATTTATTTGAGGTTGAAAGGCATCATACTGATGGAAAAAATCATGATAGTACCTTGATTTTCCTTTTCTCACCACTTTTTCTTTCTTTGACCCAAGTACTTAGATAGATAGGCCAATGCCCTGCAGAGGGGAGAAGTTGTTGAACATCCTATTTTTGTTCAAAATGCATTAAAAATGTACAAGGACTCATTTTCTTTGCATGAGCTCACTGGTCTATGCTAAATAATACATATTAATCAGCTCCATTTTCTTAATTATCTACACTTAAAAGTCTGAAGATTCGGGGGGGAAGGTTGTACTTTTGGAAATCAAATGCCCCCACATAATTATATTGATTCTTTGGCACCTAATAGAATGACATTAAATCAATGCTTTTATTAAATATGCGAACAATATCGAACACCGAAATATCCTGGATGAAAGATGGGTGCTTTTTCCAGTATATTAACATACACCGATTTTTGTATTACAGCAGGGCCATAAGCAAAAACATGTTGCTAACTAACTTAAAATTCCTGAATTTAAGTTGAATTCACAATCACTCTTCTTCTGGGTCTCATGCGATAGTTTATGAGAATCAGTTTTGAGTACCACATGTCTTATGTGTACAGGTAGACCTCGATTTACAACTAATCGTTTAGTGACCATTTGAAGTCACAACAGCGCTGACAAGAAGTGACTTGTTGTACAAAGAGTTGCACAAAGCCTTTGAAAGAGGTGTAACAGCACTGCACCACAACACCTCTTTTCAAATTGTTCATGCACTGCTAAGATATTTGTTTGGTCACTTTGCATCTGCAGACAGCCCAAGAAATGCTTCCAAAGCCTTACAAATGTTGTGCTTGCTGTAGTGATTTGAAAAGTGGAGCTCCATGCATGTTCCAATATGTCACAAAACAATTCTTAGGAGGAGCAGTAGCATCTAAGATGCACTACATGAGGGCTGTCAAACTTGCGGCCTGTGGGCCAGATGTGTCCCATGCTGGCCATGCCCATTTTAGTGAAGGGGAAAAAAGTTTTTAAAAAACCAGAGGTGGCTGTGATTCTATCTTGCCAAGAGAAGTCCATGGATGTGACCAAACTTATCAAAGGTTAAGCTCAGTTGGAGGGAGGCACTTTCTTCACAATTAGGAAAATATTTTAAACATACCAAAGGAATTCAATCATACCAAAAATAGGTGCTATACAAATACATGAAGATGTGAGTTGTAGCTATGCTTTTAGCAAACAGCTAAAAGTTAGCTTTTACATAACCAGGTTAATGAATATTCAAAAAGAAGTTGAATCCTAGAAACTGTTTTATCTTAAAAAAACCACCAAATATTTATTTTTAACAATCACTGTTCATTTGTAAATTTCTACAAATCTTTTGATTAAGGTATCTATTAGCACATATGGGCTATAGACTTCAATCTCATTCAGTTATTTTTATAGAGTAAAGCAATATAAAAATGTAAATTTTGCATTGGGCTATTAGTATGTGATATAGTCTACATACGCTGCCAAATAGCCTTCCAGTTTTGTTGGGTAATTCAAGCTAGAAAAGTAGAAAACATACCAGTCGCTCTACTTCAAGTTTATCTTAATTGGATAGTCATGCAATACAATCAGGTATTCAATACTGTAACATTTTAATATCTTGGTTTGGCATTGTTCATCTTGGATATTTCCTTGAAAAATTATAATACATCTTGTCTGAATCTAACATTCCTAGAAAATAAAGTGTCCCTTCAGGATAGAATTTAAAAACCAAGCCAAGCAAATGTTCCAATTAGCAAGCTATATTTCAGCACCGTGCATCCGTTGTTTCCTTTTGACCTGAAATTACTTCACTTTAAGTGTAGATCAACTGCCTCTCTTGGTGTTAAGTCCTTATTTAATTTTAAATTAAAGATTGTCAGTTAAGTGTGCATCACTTTCAAGGGGAAGAAAAAAATGTAATAGTGAGTGAATGACAGAGTATCCTCTATGTTATTCAGAAATAATTCCAGTTTGTGCTGAATGAGACTAATTTCCAAATAAATGGGATTTAAGTTATGGGCTCATTGTGGACCACTTCAGAGTTGTTAATCTGTGTTGAGTGCAAGTTCAGATATGGGTTTTCTATCTTGAAAAGTTGTCTAGAAGGAGATAGAGATTGCTATTTATAAGACAAGTTATGCAGACTGATACGCTTGCATACAACATGCCCCACCATGGCCTTGGGAGGAAAGCATCCTCTTGAGAGTCATAGGAAAATAGTTAAATACATGGCTATTCTTTCCAGACAGCCATGATTCCCCAGGATAGGATAATAAGGGAGAGGGGGAAAAATCCTTAAAGAGCCCAAAGGAGTGCCAAACTCTGAACTACTAGACGGCAGCATATATGACACATTCTTGTTCTCGTGTATGTGATAAGAGTCTGGTGCAGAATTGTTGGAGGGAAGGGGTTCTTTCAGGAGGAGCTAAGAGGCAAACCAGCCTCGATCCTTGGTATGCAGAAAGAGGCCAAGAGTAGACCCTTCCTAGTTATTTACAGGGCATGTCTGATAATTGTGCAGATTGTGCTTTAATCTGGCAAGAGTCTTTCTACAGGTGAGCAACAATAAAGAAATTAATCTGAGTAAATAATCACATTGGTTTTGGTTGGCTGCCTGACATTGTCTCTAACAGTCATCTGGTTGCTTGTAGCATTAGTACTATGCAATTTGAGTGGCTGAGAAAAGCATTTAAAGCTAGCCCAGTACAACCAAGGAATTAAATGCCAGGGCTCGTTTGGATTTAAAGGATGATGCCTAATGTAACTTTAGTGAGCATTCTTTCAGAAAACAAACTGCTACAACGAGCAAACGACATGGCTCCATCATGAGGCCCAGGGCCCTGGACTCTCAGCATTTGCTGAGGAGGTTCTTGGGAGCCTCCAGCTTGACATAGATGTTCAGCCTTCATGTATTTCTTGGAGCAAAGAGAGATTTATACAACAATGTTATTGCCCCCAAAAGTGTGGCAACAATTTTATACTGTTAGTCCTCGACTTACAACAGCTCATTTAGTGACTGTTCAAAGTTACAAGGACACTGAAAAAAGTGATTGATGACTGTTTTTTACATTCATGAGCATTGTGGCATCCCGATGGTCATGTGACTCTTGGCAACTGACTCATATTTGTGATGGTTGCAGTATCCCAGGTCATGTGACCGACCACCTTTTGCCATCTTCTGAAAAGCAAAGTCAATGAGGAAACCAGATTCACTTAACAAGTGCATTACTAATTTACAGTAAAATCTACAGTGATTCACTTAAAAAATATGACAAGAAAAGTCGTTAAATGAGGAAAAACTCACTCAACAAATGTCTCACTCAGCAACAGAAATTTTGAGCTCAATTATAGTTGTAAGTCGAGGACTACCTATAATGCAGGCATGAACATACCAGAAAATCCCAAGAATTTACATGAGAAGCACAGCAAATAGGAGGTCTCAAAAGTTACGTGGTAACCTTCACATCCTATGGTATTAGAGCACCAATAACCTTGAATAAGGTGAAAAGGTAACTCTATGGAAATGTCTCACAGTGACATTTGCTCAGATATGGGAAAAGTAAATATTGATTATGTAAATACTATATGGGGGGGGTGGTTTTCAGATGAATTAACTGCGAGGCCTATATGCATATTAAGTTTGGTCAGACTTATTCCTGGTCACTTATTTGTTCCTCTGCACTGCAGCCATAATTTCCAACTTAAACAAAAGAGGCAGCAGCTTTAGAAACTGGGTGGTCATATCAATGAAGGGGGAACACATAGACTGATCAATATCTGATGTGTTACAGGAGGACGGAGGGATGAAAACAGAATTTGACTGGCATAGCAAGTTCTCATATTATGGGCATCTTCAGCAAAGGAAGATTTTTGTCTTTTTAAAATGATATTGTGTAATTGTCAGTAAATGAACAAAAAAATCACTGTCTGATATGCAATTTCTTTCCTTTTTTAGTTGTTTTAAAGACTGGGAATTGGCCTTCTGCTCTGTCATGAACTAAACTGAATCGCACTTAAGCATCTTTCAAGTGCAATTTATTTTAATGGCTACATATTTATTTTCCCTTTGAAATCCATCTTATCTGAACTATTTAAGTTTGGCTAGATCATGCCCCCAACCTTGGTAACTAATTCTGAGGTTGTCATTGGTGCAATATCAAAATAACTTTCTTTTAAAAGGACAGCATAACTACTGTACATATTTGCGTCAAAGCTCAAGAGCCTTATTTTGCTCAGAGTTATTCAGAGTTAAAAGAGAAACAGGTGAATACATTTTAAGTTAATTTTACAAAAAGAAAGATACTTTAGGAGCTAGAAAAAATACGAGAGGCTATATTTTACTATCAGTTTTTTCTCTATTACCACAAGCTTTGGCAGGAAAGATTTTTTAAAAAAAATAGCACCAGTGAGCTTCAACAATAATACATCCATCTTAGTATGCATGAGATGTAATGAAGATATAAATTTTGGCCAGGAAGGTTGTGTAGGTTCCTTGACGCCAAAGCTTCATTTCAACATCTAGCAAGAAGTCTTTGGGTTCCCTCACTTGCCTCTGAAGATAGACTATACCAGTATAGGAATTAAGCTTTCGGGTATTGAAGTAGTTTTCTTCATTTCCTTTGTTGATTGTAAGGATTATGTTGTCTCCAGCATAAGCAGGCGAGGGACCAATTCGGAAAATATGAGCTGGAACAACAATGTTTGTTTGGAAATTAAGCTGATAATAAGTAATGCGGAGTGGAGTGTTTTGGCAATCCAAATAGTTGAAGCAGTTGATACGTTCACATCTCCTGAGAGAAGAGAAATAGGAAATATTTAGCACGTCAGTAACTGGGATTTTGAAGGCGAGCTCTTGGACAGCATATTAAGCAATACATAGCACAGTTGAATATTACTGATTGTACAATTAGCAGCTGCTTGCTCTTCTTATATAACCCTCACCATGTCAATGCAACTATCAAGCCAAGTATCAAAAGGTCATGAACCTGAAAACCTCTCCTGGAAACTGCAATGAATGTAAAGGAATGCTTAGAAAATTACTCTGCACAAGTTTGCCTGGAAATGAATGGTGAGATTCATCCACTTATAATATTCTGATCAGGCCACACTTACAAAGTTAGCATCTTTCCAACTTATGAAAGTTACTGTGATGGTTCCTTCATGGAACTCTGTTGTGCATGTAAAGTAAGCATTTATGTATGCATATCAGCATGGTGTTTTATTAATTGCACAGCAATCTGACGTGCAAAACTTCCATTATGCAACTTCCATTGTTTCTGGAATGGTTACATGGCTGAACACACTGTATCAAATGAAAGTGTCAGAGTAAGATACCAGTTTATGCTATATACAATTTTTTAAAGTATAGGAGAACATATTGTGTGCCAGCTATGATCTTTCCTGGATCAGTTACCTTGCATTACTGGATTATCACAATGCATTCTACACGACACTCTTTTGAAGACAAACCCTAAATTTCAGCTGATGAAACCTGAAGCATTCTGGGTATTTATGGGTTCATAACTATGGTGAGAGCTGCACTGATTAAGAGTTAGCCTTAGTTGCAATTCGACTTGCTGGTTGTCACCATTAAAGCTCTCTATAGTTCAGGGCTTAGATATTGTCATGACCGCTTTCCCTAAGTTGAAACTGCCTAGTCAATAGTCAACAACAGGAAAAGAGGGTTTGCTGAAGATCTTATCACTGAGAAAATGTCATATTTATGACATTCTGGCTTGAGCTGTCTCAATGATGGACCCCTCCTTGGGTATACCTTAGACCTAGATATTTAGACCCTTGTCACTACATTCCCAGAGCTGTAATACAGCTCTTCAGAAAGGCATTTAGGAATAAATAACATAATACAAACAGTAGCACATGGACCTGAATTGACATAATTGTAAGAAATGTTCTTTGTTTTTAAGATGCTGATATTAATTCAGTAAGCCAGTCTGATTCTGGAAATGGACAGCATATATGTTATAGTAAATAATTTAACTGTAAATACTAATAAATAATTAGTACTGATCCCATTGAACCTAGAATTTATTAAAGTGCTGTACTGATAGCAGGTTTTGCAAATAATGCAATAATAAATTGCAAATAATTGCATGAGTATTGGTCTTTATGGTTTGGCCTGGGCCATTATTTGCACCTTCTCTACCTTATTACCACACATCTTTGCAAACCTAAGAGATCTCCACTGAGGTTTCTTCATTTCTATGGGGATCAGTGGTACATTCTTAAAGCCAGGTACTTATATCCTGTTTAAATTATATGGCTCTCATAAGCTAAAGTCATTGAATAGTTGTTTTTAGTTTATAATTTGTGTAAATTTTCTTTTTCTACTATTTTATAAATTGAATCCATTTACTTTCCTAGGCTAGGATAACCTCTGGCATACAAGAGATATTCCAAAAACTGTGCTTATCTGGTAAAGATTTGTCTAACAATAGCATTTTTTTAAAAAAAATTCATTAATTGGAAATAAAGTGAAGCTTTCTTAAGATGTAACAAACAGTGGCTTTCTGACCCCACTGAGGAATTAGATCTGTTTATCTTTATAGATTATATCTAATTTTCTAAATGTTTTCTAAATGTTTATTTATTCAATTTATATAGCCATCCATCTCAGCTTACAATAAACAGATCAAATATGTAATATAAAAACAAAAACACATAGCAACATAATATAAAAATAACTATCAGCAAAGCCAAGGGATGGGCTTGATCACATACTCAGGGCCACAAAACCAAGTTTTCAGATCCTTAAAAGGGCCAGCAAGGTTGGCACTAGTCTAATCTCAGACAGACTTATTTTCCAATGGGCAGGAACCTTAGTTTTTGCCTCCTTCAAAACAGTCAAAAAATCCATTATATTTCCATCACAATTCTGAATGGCTCATTCAGATGTGTGGAGACAAATGATGGTCCTTTTTTAAAAAGCTGTAGATCTCTATCAGATGAACTATGCCTGAAAATCCCAACTACTGTGCCTTACTTGCACATAATTCTGGATGATGGATTTCTCTATACTCGGAATACATGGTTTCTACCAAAAAATAATTTTCTCCATTAAAAATCAATAGGCTTGCAGTCCCTCCTTCTTTGCTCCTTTTGACTTTGGACCCTCTTTGCTCAGCCTGCTCCCATCACTAGTACCGGATACTGTCAAGAAGGACATTTGTTTTTGCTCTCTAGCCCTAAATCTTGCCTTTTCCAGATGTGCCGTTTATACTCTTCCTGTTCCTTAAGGTCATAGTATATCAAAGATATTCTCCCATTGGTTATTTGATAACTTTCTGATTTAAAAAATGGATTACCCAGTGTCTCCTTAATGTCATTTTCTAGTTTCTCATTTTCTGTAGGATGATGTTCTCTCTCATTAACTGAGGCCTCCTTTAGGAGTAATATAAGAGCCATAGATCATTTATTGTGAATACCATGCCATTTGTTTTTCAAACTTTTATTTAATGGGAAGGTGTCTTGGATCCTCATTCATTTTTAGTCATCTGGGGATAAAATTACCATCACATTTTGTCCCTTAGAGCACCTGCATGGCTTTTAAAGTCATAGCTCTTACAGCACCTTTTTTTAAAAAAATCACCATGAAATTCAACTATCAAAAATGGTTAAGACTATCAAAAAAGAAAAGAAAAGAAAAGAAAAAGAAAAAGAAAACCATGGCCAAAAGAGCTGTGGCCTGTTCATCAGAATAACGAAATGTATCTAGTTCAATTTTAGCTAAATATTATACGACATACAAATGTAATGATCTAACTGCATACAGGCTTCTAGAAAATTTGATGGTAGTATTTATCACATTTTTATTGCTGAAGTTTGGTTTGGAAAGGCAAGAATATGGGATGAGAGTGGGGAGTACATTTACATGAGAAAATGGAGTAAGTGTAAATGAGGATGGTGTGTACATGTATCCATGTAAGTAAAATGTATATTTGATTTTGAGAATGTCTACCATGAGTTCTTTTCCAGTGAAATTAGAGCTACCCATTTCAGTTTATGGTCACATTTACTCTGAACTGTAGAATCAATGGTACATTGTTCCCCAAATGCTTTGCCTGAAGCTATTTGTAGCAGGCTTATCTTTAAAAATTAAATAACATGTTGGTATTAATGGATTAGATCTTTGAAAAAAGCACAACAAATAGAAGTGCAACAAACACTCTATATCCAGCTGAGTAATTATTAAGAGTGTTAACGTAATTAGCTGCCATGTAAGAGGAGTTTGAAGGGTAATTATTAGACTTACATGTCCGACACTTTTCTGTAGTTCGGTGGACACTCAATTAAAAGGCATCGGAAATTGCCTTGAATATTATAGCAAGATTCTGCTGAAGAACAGTTGTGGGTTCCCATTGCACATTCATCAATATCTGAGGATGAAGCACACACAAAAATTGCAATTCAGTAGCATCCTTCTTCCACAAGTGAACAAATCATACCAACTCCACTGGGTTACATATAGGAAAATAAATCATAATGACTCATTTCTATTAATAAAAAGAAAGAATGCCACACCATGTTAAAGGTTTCAGTTAAATTAGTTAAACAGATTGTAAGTTATGGATTCATTTTATAAACTGCTTAAGCAAGAATGTAGGGACCTTTTCTGAATTACCTTAGTATCAGTATTTGGTAATTAAAAGCATTTATTTATTAAGTTAAATAAATAAATCCGACCACCCCAAGCCAGTACTTTTTCCACAGACAAAGGTTGTACTCCTATCACCTCTGGGATAATCGTGAATCATAAGTATAGTTAAATTTCCCTGTCCAAAGTCAAAGAAATAGCCAGGGTGGGAAATTTGAGATAGAATTTCTTTTCTCTGTTGGTGAAGATGTCCTAGAAAGTCTAAGGAGATGTATGGGTTAGATTGGGCACTCCTATTTTGACTGAACCAAAAGCCATTCCTCACACCCTCTGATAAATTCTGTTATTTTTCACTGAATACATGGAATTTCACTGAATAAAATGAAAAAGAAACAGGTAAGGAAAAAAGGCACCTTCACACCTGACCCAATCCTTCCTAAGCACTTTGTAGTCATCTATGATATGGTCTTCACTACAGCCAACCCCAGTTGATTGAGAAAAAACAAGACAAATCAATACCCCCTCTAGCTGAATAAAGGTAAAGGTTCCCCTCGCACATATGTGCTAGTTGTTTCCAGGTCTAGGGGGCGGTGCTCATCTCCATTACAAAGACAAAGAACCAGCGCTGTCTGAAGACGTCTCCGTAGTCATGTGGCCGGCATGATTAAACTCCAAAGGCGACGGAATCTGTTAGCTTCCCACCAAAGTGGTTCCTATTTTTCTACTTGCATTTTTACATGCTTTCGAACTGCTAGGTTGGCAAAAGCTGAGACAAGTAATGAGAGCTCACTCCGTTATGTGATGCTAGGGATTCGAACTGCTGAACTGCTGACCTTTCTGATCGACAAGCTCGGCGTCTTAGCCACTGAGTGAATTTTTTTTAAAAAATAGTGCCCAGATCTCTAAATTTCTACAACTCCAGGAGTAGTAAATGTTCCCTCATTTCACACAGAAAGAGAGAAAATGAACATCACACCCATACAAACCCATTTCAGAACATCTAGTATGCATTTGTTGGATAACTCCAGAACCTCTGAGTAGCGGAAAATTTTGGTAGCTGTCAAGAGGATGTATATAAATTCCCATTGAAAGCCTAGTATCATTCTTTTGCAACCAGGAGCTCTTCCCCAAAGATGCATTCATAGATGTAAGTTGTTGTGGAAGACCTCTATGGTTTGGATGGAGAAGAAGGGCTTGCCTGAGCCCTGATCGTGTAAGTGGGATAAAGTAAAGAGTTCAGTATATGTTGCTTACACTTAAGCTGAAAATATTAAACTGAACAGGTTTTTTAAAGCAGGAATTATGAAACCATTGCAAAGTTTACTAAAGAGAATAAGTCTGGATAAACTAGTAAATATATCTGTGACATCTTCTGGAGTGCAGGTGGGGTAAGGCAGGATAAGGCAAAAAGTAAAACTTCCAATTCCTGCAGAGCACAAGCATCACAAATCATAACTTGCAAATTGTAGTTTGAACTGTTCAGCACTATAGCCAGAAGAGTTATCTCAATTTTCAAAAGGGGATGAAAATATACAATCACATGGGACATGGTATTCCTGCAGAAGTAATACCAAAGCTCTGGGTGGAAGCATACAGAAGCAGGCAGACACAAATCACTTTCCATTTCTGCCTGCAATCTGCAGGACTTTTTAATTACATGACTGAATAGGATTGGTTTTAAGGATAACCCTAAATATAGTTTGATTTCCCCATTTCTGGATCTCCAACTGCTGTGGAGGCATGTTGATATTGATAAAGTAGCTGCAGAATCCTTGTTGCATATATACTTCTCTACATAGTTGGGAGGCTCACAGATTTTGTTTTAAGACCAGCATTTCATCAATTCAAGTTATATCATTGTGTTTGAGGGAAACAATAATTTATTTCTACCTAGGATACTTAAGGTAAGAATGAAAATCTTGCAAGAAAATCTTTCAAGAGCAAGATAACGAAATAGCCATTTGTTGATTTGTGATGGCTGCAAAAGACAAGGAAGAAAATCCTGGCTTAACTCTTTAGCCATTTTAAAAATAATCTCAAATGTCTAGACAGCATTCAGAGGTTTGCCACTAAAATAAATGCTAACAGACAATCCACAAGCAAAGTATTGCAGAGAAATCTGCCAGTTTTTACAGAGGAGACACTCTCCTAAATCAACGTCACTCTTGCAAGGAGTGTGGCTTGTTTAAAGCCATAAGAAAAGAAATTAAATGGAAGTAAGAAAAACGACTCCATTGCTGAACAATTTTATGTGTACATTTTTAAATCTCTGCATTAACTTCTACATGTATTTTTGTGCACAATTTCTAATACATACACTTTTGTGATGCTATAGAAGATTCCCTAAAATTGTATTTCAACATTTTTCACCTATTATATGTATTTTTAAATAAGTGATTTTCCCCAATACTTTGTTTGAGTATGCAAGGTTCGTTGGCACATACTTTCCTACTTTATGTTTAGCTTTCTATCCTTTATTGCATTTTTTTTTAAAAAAAAGATTTTATTCACATACAGCGATAGTAAATGAAAATTAGGTCAATTCGTCATGACCTAATGGCAAGAAACAATTTTCTCTCTCTCATTTTTACCTCGACAAGTCCTTCCATTGGCAGCCATAGTATATCCTTGATCGGGGCAAGCACACTGATAACTCCCAGGCACATTGAGACAGCGGAAAGTGCATAGGATGCCTGCACTTTGGGCACACTCATCAATATCTGGAATTGGTACATTAGCAAACATGTGAGGGCAATGGTTTTATTCTCCCAAGAAATGTACATTAGTGCTTCAATGGAACAAATGAGATGTACCTTTACAAGAATGGCTGTCTTCTGCTAATTGGTAGCCTTGCCTGCAGTAACACTGATAGGAACCATAAATATTAGCACATTCTTGATTGCATGGATTATTGTCACATTCATTGACATCTGTGTTGAAAAATGAGTATCAAAGTGATGTTAAAATCAGTTACTGCCACATATCTGTCATTGAAGACAAAGTAGAAAAAGCCCTTAACTAAATGGATTGCTTTTTTAAAAAAAAGAACATGGAGCATCTTTAAGCCTGAAAAGATGACAGACGGTGGTTTATACATGCAGGAAATATATTTGATTAAAATACTAAATTATTAAATTGAGATAATATTAATAAGCATTTGAAAGTCATAGATGATTACTTTAACTATAACTTAGATGTAGGATGTATCATTTATGGTATCTCTAGGTCTATAGAAAGTTGTATCACACAATCCAGAAATAGATGGAGCCAGGATATTTTCAGGAAGTTTAAGTTTCACTGAAAGTCTTAAACTTTTCATATAAACTTATGCAAAGTCCAGATAATTCTCACCTAATGGCTGTCAAGTCTAGTGTCTATTTAAAGCTACTTGCACTTTGTCTACGAGTAAATAGGTCAGCAGGTGATGCTGTCAATATGGCATTACCTTACAGGAGGAAGAGGCTCTAGGACCCAAAGAGATGCTAACAGTGTGCACACAGACCTGGCCCACTCTTTCTCCACCTTTGACTTAACAGTTATAACATCATTCATTTTTATCATGCTATTATCATTGTAATGTGGTTCAGAACAATAAACTTGTAATGCAAGTTAAATTAGACTCTAGTTATTCCTTTTCAGTGAAATACAAATACATGAAAAAGGGGCCCAATGGCAGTTAAGGCAGGGTTTCATTTTTATGTTATACTAGATAAAGCACATTGGAAAAATGGGATGCTAATTGTGACAAGTAAAGAATAGAATAATATAAAAGAAAGCACAAGGATTTCAAAACCTGCATTTAGAAATGTGTTGTTTTCGGCAAGACATTTCTCACGGTGCTGACTTTTTTTTTTGTTTTTTTTTGGAGATAGATTCATCTACAAATACCTTCACAATGTTTCCCGTCATAAGCCAAGCGAAATCCAGAAGAACATGAGCAATGATAGGATCCAGGAGTGTTTTCACACGAATGCTGGCAGAGTCGGCCTGGATAATTCCAGCATTCATTTATGTCTATTGCAAAACAAAATCAAAACTGATAATCATAAAATACACTTGGGAAATTGTGAGGCAGAAAAAAGGGCAAAGGTGTTAGAGGAAGATTTGTGTAATTGTTTCCATCTTGGATGTTTACATTTTCTTAGTTTATTTGCTTATCGGTATAATGAAACAAAGAAGCATAGAAAAATGCAGCTACCACCTTATCCAATAAACCAGCACTTCATTTTTTGCAAAAGTTTCTACATTTATATTCTAAGTTTTTGACTTACCAAATCACTTATAGCACAGAGAATGGTTTTGAAAGCCTCCAGAATATGAAGTAATACCAATGGATGTGTCCCACTAGATAGGACCAGACCAAGAAATGAATTGCACAGGAAGGTTAAAATCACTTTCATGCAAGTCTGATGACTCCTTTTCCTACTTATACTTCAGTGAATTAAATTAGGAACGTGTCTATTTGAGTTGCTTCTCAATATTATCTGACTGTTCTGGACTTAAGGTAAGTTTTAAGTCTTGTTGCTTTGGCAATGGAGCTTGCATACCTCTGTCAATGTCATATTCTTTTTTTCTCTATAATTAGATAATTTTAGACTGACAGTTCATGAATTTTAATTTTTTAGTAAGCAAGGTAATTCATTAGCTAAAGTTAGGGACACAACCTCCTTTTTCAACTGTCAATCTCCTATAATTTCTATCCCGTCAAAGCCCTGTCCCGTGCCCCAGCAATGTCAATCTACTTGTACGACTATTAGAAGACATTCTTTGGCTCAGCATCCTGAAGCTATATAAGCTCCAAGCCCTCTCTGTTTTTGTTTCTTCCAGATTCTAAGCCCCATAACCTTTAAATCTGTTTGTTCCAAATCAGCATTGTTAAGATTCCATTCATGTACATTTTCCCAATCATGACAAGTGTGAATCAATCACTTCTCTTATATATTCTGCTTCAGCTGAAATCATTTAGAATCCAGAGCATATCTAACCTGGAGTAGAAACAGACTAGGAGGGGAGATAATCATTATAGTGGTCTAGAGGTTTACAAGCAATTCTGTAAAGTAAGAGTGTTCTACCCTCCCTTTTCTCCCCTCTTCTAATTTTCTGAAATTGGAATCTCAAAGGAGCACAAACTGGCTGATTGTTTCTGAGATTGCCTCTTTCATTTACTTATTAATAACATTCAGAAGTTCTTTTCGCAAGGTATAATCTATAACGTGCATTGTGTATAGGAATTTGCAAAGGTCAAAATCTTCAAGCACATCTCCATGGTCATCTCTTTCAAAACTCATTTCGACTTCAATGCTACCTTGGGGAAGAAAGCTGGGGAAGGGAAGAAATGTTCATACCATTCTTTCTAATTCCAGGCAACCTTCCAAGCTAAGCTTAAACAATTATGCTGTGTGAGTGTGTGTGAGTGTACACAAAGATTTGCAACAATCTGCCATTCATTTATATCTAATTAAATTAAATGACTTGACTCATGTGTCATAAGGAGACTACAGCACCTACTTGCAACGACTGGGTTATAGCATCCACTCAGAAATTGAATAGCTGGTAGATTGTTACCTAGCATCAGAGGTGCTATTCAGCAGGTTCTGACCAGTTCTGGAGAACCAGTAGCAGAAATTTTGAATAGTTCGGAGAACCACCTCTGACTGGCCCCACTCCCATCTATTCTCTGCCTCCTGAATTCCAGCTGATCGGCTGGGTCTTCTTTTGTTGCCCTGCACAGGAGAATGGAGCTGGAAAGCTGGTTAGTGGTGTGGGGAGAGAATGGGGATTTTACAGTGTTCTTCCCCTGCCATGCCCACCAAGCCACACCATGCCCACCAAGCCATGCCCACAAAACCGGTAGTAAAATTTTTTGAATCCCCCACCATTGCCCGGCATCCATATCACTCAGGACCTATTTTCTTTGGAAGTGTGAACATACTTAGTAAAACAGAGATGGAGCCTTTTTTTTAGCTCATCAATAAGTACTGGCTTAGGTTCATTTCAATCAATTGCTATACTAGAAATAAAACTGGAGCATATAATTATCAAACAGACAAATTAGTCCATGTGCATGAAGGGTACTTCAGAAGCAATTGTGCTATCTTATTTGAGCTTTAGTAGAATTAATACTTATGCTGAAATCAATAGCGTATAAAATCGGACCACAGGTCCATATTTCAACAATCAGCAATACCAATTCCCCTGTGTCATACTTACCAATGCAAGTTCTGCTGAATGAATCATACTGATATCCCATCTTGCAATCACAGCGGTAGGCTCCAGGTAGATTGTGACAAATCTGTCCTTCTCCACAGCGGTGTGTGGCAGACTGACATTCATCAACATCTACAGAAGCAAAAAGTAGCAATTACTCTAACCACCATGAGCCAGTTGATGACCACTCTCCTTTTGTATCACAATTTTCAGCAAATGTGTGGAATGAAGGTGCTTGCAGCCTGAGCATGCAGCAGGAGCAGAAGTGGGTTAATTTTTCCCAGAAACTGCAGGTAGAATGATTAGTGATTACAATTCCCTTTGCCAAAGCTGGCCTCCTGCAGCTCTGGGGTTCTTACAGACAAACCCTATAATTTAAAATAAAATAGAAATTCAAGTTGCAAAGCCTTGGGGAGCACTCTATTTTGGGTCCAAACGAACATTAGCTTCCTTTTAATTTTATTTCTTTAGGTATATTGAATATAGAAACTGCTACATTCATATCTTTAATTCTCCTATGTTGTTTGGAATGTCCTGAATTATTATGTCCTGGGCATAGGCAAGAAGCAAGGGATAGAAAGTAATCAAGGAGAGAACCAACCTAGAACTAAGCAAAATTTCCTGACAGTTGGAACAACTAATTAGTGGATGTTGTAGGTCCTCCAATACTGGAAGTTTTTAAGAAGAAGCTGAACAACCATTTGTCTGAAATGGTATAGAGGTTCCTCCTTGAGCTGGGAGTTGGACTAAAAGACCTCAAATGCCCCTTCAAACTCTGTTGTTCTATTATTCTGTTCTGTTATTAAACTAGCATTTTCAGATAATAGGAAACAAGTTCAGATATGTAAAATGAAAAAGGCAGAGTTAGATTTCATTACAAATTGAAATCTTTCCTTGATCTCTTTCCATACCAATTAAGCAATTTGTCATATACTCTGAGGACTGATAATAATTTTCATCCATTCACATGTGCCCAACAAATGCTTTACATTTTAAAAATTAATTTATTGTTTGTTTGTTTATTTGGTCTTTCATTTAAGAACTAAAGATAAGGTATATAGCACTTCCTTCTCCTGTTTTTACTGCAATAGCAACCATATGAAATAAATAGAACTGGAAAAGACAGAGCTAATTCTACTCAGTAGATTTCCATGGGTAAAGTATATTTGAATTCATATGACCTCCATTCTAGTCTAATATCTTAATCACTAAATAATATTGGCTCTCAGTACAGGTGTTAGCATCACACTAGGCTGTAGCATATAATATCGTGAGCATGGATAACAATTGCTTAATTTTTATAACCTTTGGGATCCTTGGATTTACTTGTAGACAACTTTATTTGGAGATAAAGAAATTATATCAGAATTTCAAATACCATTTCTATAGCCAATATTATAAATAAATGACATATATATCTACAGTACTATACATTTACAAAACCTGAGTTTGGTTAGAAAGATGCTATTTTAATTTATTTTTAATCACTTGTTTTAAATAGCCTAGCAATATATAATGAATCAAAATATGATTTTTCAAATTAAAGCATCATCTCTTTGCATCTCTGTTCACTTTACAGCAAGCATTAGAATGTTAATTTTAATTATGATTTAAATCTGCCAATTAACAACACAAATTGTCTTTAATTCATTTGTTCAACTCTTTGAGTAGTTTTCTTGGAAATTGTGCATTCCAATCACTTCTTCTTTTAATTACTTTCAGTACATTATTCTGTCAAAAGAGCATCCCATTTCATGACAGTTACAGTGTTTTCCAGCTAAATGTTGGAAGAAACTGCTGCTAACCACTCTATTGCATTGAAAAAGAATAAATTTGTTGAGAATTCTCTAAGCAAAAAGAAGCAACCACTATGACTCCATTCTTCTGCATAGCCTGTCCCAATGATCTATTTCTAGAACCATAAGTTTATCCAATCTAAATTTAATTATCCATTGTATTATTTCTTGCAAAAGAAAAAAGAAAATTAGAACCACAATGAGTTTTTATTTGGTTGCTTATGCTTTCACTCTATTAACACAGACATGCACACACACACACAAAAGCAATAGTGTTTAAAGTCTAAGCATAGGAGTATACTTACAAGGGCAGAAGTACAATGTTTTCATTACTAATATTACAATGAAGTTTGAAGTTTCTAGATACAACAAAGCTCTAATTTCTATAATTTCAAAAGTTTCTAAAGAAGTCTTACTAGTGCTAACCAAGTTAGGTAGTTGATAGGATAAATGAGCAAGATGAAGAATTTGACACCAACACCAGCATTCCACTACTTTAGTACAGCAGATATATTTTTCAAAGCACTGTTCTGTTCCTAGATTGGTTAATGATAGTTGGCCAAGCTGTTCTTAATTTCCTTCTAAGTCAAGATTCTCCCCAAATAACACATTCTTATTACTCAACTGAACTGCTATTAAAAACCTGACATAAACCATTGAAGAAATCTATATGATTATTTCACATACAAATTATGTCATATACTTTTTCTATTGCGTTACATCACCATCACTACTGCCTAGTCAATATTCATTGATGGATTTAACAGAATACCAAACAGCTTTGATTCATACAGTCAAGTTACTGAGATTACATTTGAATTTGAACCCTCAGCAACTTCCAGCATTGAAGCAGCCACAGTTTTGTCAAATTTCAATCCCATGGAAGCCATGGCTTCTGGATTTTGGATGCATTCTTTAAACTAATCCATTTGGGCAAAAAATGTTCCCTACTTTATGATAGATAATTCCATCCAGTTCAGGGTTCCAAACAATCAAATAGGCACGAGAGGTTTAGGATCAGATGAATTTGACTAATGTTGTTGTAAAGCTGAGACCTTTGTAGGTTGAGATAGTGTAAAGAAGCACCTTCTTTTCTCTAGCCTAAATATAACTTAATCTGTTAGATAAACCTGCTTTTCATAGATATAAAGAATGAATCTTTACTTTTTCTAAGTCCTGCATAATTTTATTTCTATTAGACAGTTTTTCCAGTTTCTTGATTATTTTCATTTCTTGGAGTTGGTCATTTAAAGCAGGGTGGAGAGACGGAATGAATATGTAAGAGATTGTATGATCCAATGGGCAAAGAAGTTTGGTTAAAGTATAATGATTGGCCAATGGGAAAAGTTGTACTTTAATGGATTGAAATTCAGACTGAATTATAATTTGAAAGAAAACTTCTGTAAGATGATGTATCATTGGTATTTAAAAGCAGAGAAATTGTCAAAAATGCGTAAGGAAGTTTCAAATGTATGTTAGAAATGATCTAGAAAAAGGGTAGTTTTTAATAATCTCTGATGGACTTGAAATATAGCCAAGAATTACTAAGATCAGATTTCTACTTTATTTCAGCAGATCCTTAAGATAAATGAAAAACTGAAAGCGAAAGTTTTCCTTTTAGGTTTGATGGATAAAGAATTTGAAAGAAAATCTGGAACATTATTACTATATAAGTTGACAACAGTCAGAATTTTATGTGCACCGATGGAAAGATACACTAGTTCCCGCAATGGAAAAATGGATGGTAAAGTTGACAAGAGTTTATAGAAAGGGCTTAAATTGTGAAATGTAAAGCAAAAGGTTGGTATTGTATTATTTCTGTTGCACCAAAGACAGAAGTCATTATTTTTTCTCTCTTTTTTTTCTTTTCTTCTGTACTTTTATCTTACAATAAAAAATTTAAAAATGCAAAAAAAAAAAAAAAAAAGGAGGAGAGAAGATGTGATGACCAGAGTAATACAGACTGTTCCAAATGTGGATATGGAATTGAGCTGAAGAAAGGAGTTTCAATACTGTAGTTGTTACTACTCCATTGGATGAATATGGTGAAAAAACAAATCCAAAATGGGAAATGATTTGCACCTTATTAATAGTTTTATTTAAGTGTGTGGTGTGTCCATATTTGAAAGATTGTGTAAAGTTCTGTCTCAGACAGTATCTCCAGAAAGATATTGAAGCACTAGAGTAGGGCTGTCAAACTCACAGCCCACGGGCCGAATGCATCACATGCTAGCCACACCCACACCATGGTTTAGCAAAGGGGAAAGTCATGATACAGCACATCATGATGATGCAAGTTTGACAGCTCTGTACTAGAAAATTGCAGAATGATCTAAGGAAACAGACTAATGAGGAAAGATTTAATGTTTGGGATGTACCTACAAATACACATAGATAATTTTTTGTCCCAGTGTACTTCACTGTAAAATGAATTGCACCAAATCTTGTTTTCATGCTAATGTCTCCTATCATTGTTTGAAAAGATTGTTTTGAAACACACCATATTCAAAGTTTATCTCTCATTATTCATATATGATTTGGAGTCCATGTTCCTGAGTGACCTTATTATTTATATTTATCCTTTAAAAAAAACCTATTATTTTATTCCCATTCTCTGTGTTGTATAATAAAACTTACTGATCCATAAAAGGGCATTTCTCATGATCCAGTGCATGCCTGAGTTATGCTTGCTTCAGTTTTTAGAAATCACAAGGAACAGAAGAAGCATAAATCACTAAAACGTCACATACATGTATGTGTCTTATATTAATTCATAGAAATAATTATTTTAGATTTTAGTTCCCTTGTTGGCATTAACAAGGACAAGAGTAATTATTTTAGCAAACACTAGTATAAATGTCAACATTTCCTGATGAATAACACTGCCTAGTGAAAAGCAACAGCAATCAGTAACACTGTGCACTGCCAAGCATTTGGCAGACTTGTCTTTCTCACCTGTTGAAGTCTATTTTAAGATTTAGCAGGTAGGCAATGCATATAACTCAATTTCTTTTGGATGGCAACTAAGGCCTTCCATTATAAGCCAAAGAACATTGAACGTATCTCTACCAGCACCACAAAGATTTGCAACAGATGCTTTTATGTATGCATTGGAATTCAAAACATGCATGTTTACAGAAATGTATCAAAACTCTTTGAAAATGAGATTAAAGAGAGACAGTGAATCTAACCGTACCTATAGCTGGGTTTTTTAATCTGACTCTTACCAACACATCTGGTTCCATCTTCACTTGAATGATATCCCCTGCTGCATATTAAGAGGTTCTTCTGACAAGTGTAAGACCCAACAGTATTGATGCAATTGAATCCAGCCTTACATGGCTCAGGAAGTGATGTACATTCATTAATGTCTGTGGAATAAATATTAATATATTGCTATCAGTCTTTAACTTAATCAGCAACCCATCTTCCAGCTGTTCTTTGTTTCCTGTTCATTGGCCTTGATTTATTGTGCAATAAATTCCAGATCAATAGAGTTTGTTACCCATAGTTAAAATTGTAATATTTCAAAAATCTTAATATTTACTTCTTATTTTATTGTATTTTAAAAGGGAATTAATTTGAGAGTGGGAAAACAGTATAACATTAAAGATGACTGAATGTAATGAAATGTACCGCAGGTGATAGAATAGCATCTGGAACTCATTAATTGAGGAATAGAAATACTCACCGACACAGTTTCCCTCCGGATCTTGTAAAAATCCTTCCATGCATCGTTGCTTTGATTCACAGTAAAACGATCCTTTTGTATTTTGACATGCAAAGTTTATCTTGCAGCTGTGAGTTCCTCTTTCACATTCATCAATATCTTTTGTAAAAAAGAAAGAAAGAAACAATTTAGCTACACCATTTCTAAAACTCTTGTGGCATCTTTTGTTTCATGTACATGTGTAAGTTTATAAAGAGCAATGCTACAATGCAAGATGCTGTTAATATCTAATAGTAAATGTAAAATACTTTAAGGCAGCAATCATTCGTTTTCTTGCCTGACTCCATTTGGAGAGAATATTTGCCCTACCGACATGTAAAAACCCTGGAAAATTATATGCAATCCACTTAAGGGAATTTAACAAAATAGAAAACCAGCCTTCCACATTTATAATCAAATGTGGATGCAGAAATCCAAAGTCAGATACTTAAATATTAGTCATATGTGGATTATTTTGTTTGTTACTCAAATTTCCAGATATCCTTGGTAAAAAAAATAGAGGATGAACAAATACCCGTCTATGTTTGATATCCAAGCTCAAATGATCCTACTTTGGGCATAGCTCTCTGGAACGACTCTAATTCTGGTAAATGTAGAAGGAAAGAGAAGTGGACAACCCATAACAAGATGGATGGATACACTCATTGTATACACTCAACAGAATAATTCTAACCTATTTATAATTATGTTAGCTTATTTATAATCTTATTGATTATATTACTATACATATAATTATAAACAATGTTCATGTTTAATTTAGCTGTGCTCTTTCTTCATCTAATTTCTACCTCTTATCTCTAACAATTGATAAAACTTTTCCATGTTAAGTAGTACTCTGTATCTCCTTTATCTTTTATTTTCAATGTCACTCTATCCATCTCTGCACAATCCAATATTTTCCCAATTATATTTTCACCTGATGGGGCATTCTCATCTGATGGGGCATTCTCATAATTGCTTATTATAGACCCAGAGTCTAGGAATTAACTGGAAAACCACACAGAAACTTGCGTTGCCATTTTTAATATGCTAGAGTAGGATATGAAAAGTGGCTGCTAGATGCTTTTAAATAAGGTAGTCCTCATTTAGCAACCACAATTGGGAGTGGCAACTCAGTCATTAACCAAAAAGGTTGCTAAATGAAACCACGACTATGCTCTTACTTCAGGTTTTCCTTTACTTTTACATTCCTGTGAAGGTCATAAATGCAGGATTGGTCACAAAGTTGTTTTTTTATCCCCCATTGTAACTGTGAGTGGTCATTGTCTGAGATAGTTGCTAAATGAGGACTACTTGCACATAGGAAATCTGTATGTCAAATTTGTCAAAATGTATTTTTTTAAAAAAGCTTTGGAATTCTGATCACTTTCAAATATAACTTTTGCCTTCTAATAATGCTTATATTATCCATAAAATCAGTGCCCACTGCTGGGAATGATTCAATACTGTCAAAAGAAAAGCCCACAGTATCTAAAGTAGCAAGAAATAGCTAGAGTATTTCTTCTCCTTGTTGCTTCAAAATGTTGGATCAAAACATGGAAGAGAACAGCATATAGAATATTGGCCACACCAGCCTTTCTTCAGGGTGGGCTGTGTGTTAATTTACATACACAACATTAATTGTATGCATCACAATTGCGATAATTCCCATTCAGTCTAGATTCTAAAATTACCTAGCTGTGCCTTTATTCAGGCCATTGAATTAACTTAAAGAAGGGGTAGCAATTTTTGTTTCCTGAGAAAGCTTGAATTTGTCAACAAAGTAAATCACTCTCACCAATTAGGTCTTCTTGCAGACAAAGACCATTGAAAGCATTGCAACAAGTAGGTAGGTATTATGATCGTTCCTTCTTTGTTTTCAATATGAGAATAGTATCACAATTGTTTTGAGTATTCTAAAATAATGTCTAAAAAGTTACAATCCCCATTGTGCTACATAGGAATGGATAATTACAAACCAATTCTACAGTGGGAGCATGGAAAATTTATAAAAGCACAATCAGTATTTCCCAAAATTTGGTAGCCTGTTCTCAGTGAGATAAATACAAGCATTTCCCACTTTGTCTGGAAAGTATCAAACAAAATTACAAGCAAAAACTGAGTGAATGTTTTTTCTCCTGTATTATTATCAAAGCATCAATAAAGAATATTCAACTGTTACAACAATATTTGGGGAAATATCTCTTTTCCAACCATAAATTCTGTAAATCCTGTCCCGGGATCACAGATTGCTATATATTGTTTTATTTAACAATTCATTTCTTTTACAAGGTGGAGCATTTTTTGGGTTACACAAAATAATCCATTTAATTTCATGAAAACAATAAATTTAATTATAACTTTAAATTTCATTTAATCAAAAACAATATGTACTTCAGCTCATAATTTTGACAAATGAATTTATAAACTGCTTAAAAAAATATATTCTAATCTTACCAACACATTCACCATCCTTAAGTTCATATCCTGATTGGCAGCTGAGTTGTTGAAGACACGTAAATGATCCAATTGTATTGATACAATGTTCTCCTCTCTTGCAAGTATGAGTATCTGATACGCATTCATTAATGTCTGTGAAAAGACCACATGCCAGCATATCATATCGCAAAGTATAGACCTTTTTCAAATTTAGTACAGCATGAGGGGAAACCCCATAAAGATACAGCATAAATTATTTGTCCAGAAAGAAAAAATTATATGATTAGATTTTTAAAATTTCTTGCCAATTTTACAAATGTTTACAATATTTTAATTTATAGAGAATTCTAGGAGATGTTCTACTTTTAGTTTTACCTTGAGTGATGCATTCAGTCAAGGTCATTATGTAATCAATTACTCTAATAGGACACAGAAGTTAGGAAAGTATGAATGCAAGCCCACATATTACATATAGAATATTCCTAATTTATATAGCAAATATAATTCAATTTTACAAGGCAAGCAATCACTTCATCACCACAGGACACAAAAGATATATATGAATAATGTAACAAAGCAACCAAGGAAGAACCACAGGAATGAGTAGGAAGAAAAATTATGCTTTGAAGCTCACAAGAATAACTTGTGTTATACGATCAAGTAGGAACTATAGTGAAAGCTTGACACTTGAAATGGAGCATAATCATTGCCATAATTTTGAATTAGGTAGTATGTCTACAGTGGTATGTTTCATGCCCAGCATGTGTTAATGAGAAATGAACCATGTCTGTGATCCTAGTGTGACTGGCAGCATATAGATTATTAGGTTGCATGGATCCTTACATATCTCACATTTTATTTTTCCAGCTTCCTATATAATTTTCAAACCCAGAAATGTTTTATTGTTATCATTACATGCTGGGCACGAAGTATGCCACTATGGTGGACATACAATCTAATTCAAAATTATGGCAATGATTAGGTTACATTTCAAATGTCAAGATCTTGCCACCACTTCTAAACATGGACATTAATTTGTAATACACATATAGCACAATTTGATACATAAGGATAGGAACAGCAAAAGGCTGGGTCAGAGAAACCCTTCAGTTCTTTTCATTTCATTTCTAAACCCTCAATCAATTTAATATATACTTTACATGCCACAATGGACACACAAATAGTATGGGCCTGAGAAGGAAAGTTACCAAAACATAATGTAGCTTTTTATGCCTTCTCCTCAAACAAACTACATCCAACAGCACATTTTACAGTTGAATAATTGTGTCTCAGTCAAGCAAAGTATATCTCTAAGATAAAGTTAAAGGCAGAAAAGTAGTAGAAATCTCATTTAGCAGCAAGGAATAAAACAGGCAATAAAACCCAGCAATCAAGAAAAGATAACAGGGCAGAAGAAACTTCCTGTAATACTACACGACTATACAAGAAAACAGAGAACCTTTAAGCAAGAATAACAGATTTCAGCTAAATAGAGCAAACTGTTGCAGAGTAAGAAGTAACTGGATAACAGAAACAATTATCTGCTGATTATTGCCCTTTCTTACTCGAGCTGTTCAAATAATGGAGAGGCATCCTAGCATTTGGATTTCCTGCCCCAAGCAAAAGAGCTTTCTCCAATCTGTTGTCCTTCAAGTCTATTAGAATTTTAATTCCCACTAGTACTCAACCAGCTGAACTGCAAGTTCAAAGTATCTGGAAAGTACCAAGCAGGGAAAGTTGACCTACAAGACTATCCTCCACAAGCTATTGTGTTCGTCAAAAAGCTTCAGAGATTACAGGTGAAAGAAAATAGAATGCACAGTGAATCCCTAAGTGACCTTGAATATTTAATCAAAACTCAAATGATATGGAAACAAGAAAACAGAGAAGTGTCCAATTATTTTCTGCATATGGAAGATTTATAAATAGCTTCTCCTGGGAAAATGTACATGTCAAAGCAATTTCACAGGTTTTACTTGCATGTTGATTGATTTCAGCTGAATGCAGGGCCTTGGTTGGGGAGAGGAAATGCAAAATGTGAACTTATCTTCAGCACGAAGGAAAATAAAAACCACGAACATCTCTATGAAGAAAACATTTCTATATCTTCAGTATAAAATGAACACACAACATTTCCAGTAATGTAAGCAGAAGCAAATTATGAAGTACTTGGAAAAATAAAGTTTAATTAAACGTTTAGAGAAAAGTTAGTTTCTAGTCTTGATTCTATGCCTGCTGACTCAACAGAGCTCATAATAGTATTATATCTTAATCACTTATAGAGTGATGAGTTACAACTTCCTCGAAATATTGTTATAGTTACAAATGAAGTCTCACTGATTTACCACTTAGGACAGCATCTCTGACAAGTTCTGAAGAATAGCCAAGGGCCCAGAAGATTGGAGAATGGCTAGTTTTGCAATAATAATCCTTACTTCAAGTATTGGGTTCAGTTCTACACACTCCAATTTAAAATAAACTGGAGTAAGTCTAGAGACAGATTACCAAGATGGGGAAAGGACAGTGAATGACTTGTCTCCAGAAGTTGTAGAGGCTCCAACACTGGAGGATGTTAGATATTGGACAACCATTTTGTCTGGAAAGGTGTAGGGTTTCCTGCTTGAGCAGGGGGTTGGATTGAAGACCTCTAAGGTACCTTCCAACTCTGTTATTCTGTTCTGTCATTCTGGAAATCAAGTCCTACAAGAAATGGCTAAAAGGCCTAGGTATGTTTAGCTTGCAGAAGAGAAAGTTGAGAGGAGACATGGTGGGTTGTCATCAAATTACTGAAGGGCTGTCACATTGCAGTTAGTTAAGATTTACAGTATTCTCACTTGCTCCAAGGGGTAAGATTCAGGGGTGGGATTCAAATTTTTTAACAACCGGTTCTGTGGGCATGGCTTAGGTGGTGGGCAGGGCTTGGTGGTCATGTGACTGGGTGGATGTGGTTTGATGGTCATGTTATTGGCTGGGCATGGCCAACTCAATATCACTCACATCGAGGCACGCATCTCCTTGCCTGGCCTCTCATGCCTGTGGGGATGCTGCAACAGTTGTAAGTGTAAAAAATGGTCATAAGTCACTTTTTTCAGTGCCATTCAGTAACTTTGAATGGTCACTCCACACAAGCAAAGTACCAGCAAAGGAGGGGAAAAAATCTCCAGAGAAGTTCCAGAGACAGAAAGTCTAGCCCTGCCAAGAATGTAATAAGGGTTAAAGGAGAGGCAGTTTCTGTAAGCAACACCAGAATGTTTCCTTCCTGCCTTCCTTACAGGATTAGGCCAGTAATTTCTTCTAACAACTGGTTCTCCAAACTGCTTAGAATGTTAACAACCGGTTCTAGCAAATAGGTGCGAACTAGTAGAATTCCACCCTTGGTAAGATTAGATGAAGTTTCATGGACATAGATACACACTAGGAAGAACTTCTTGACAGTGAGAACTATCAATTAGTGGAAGAGATTATCGATTTTAGATATTAAAGAAATAGTTTTCCTAAGGCTCACTCTGCATCCTATAAACACTGCATCCTATAAACAACTGGATAACCAAGGGAAATAGCAATGAAAAAGAAAAGAACAATAAACTTCTAAAATGATGCATTATGGAGACAAGAGTCTGTGACAGCAACTTGGACTATTAGAACACATCATCCATTTGTGGTTTACTACACACTCAAAAAATTCAATAAGGATGAACAATAACAAATGTATTCCATGTGCCACAACATGTACAATAGAGGTAAACACACAGTGCTGTGACTTGTCTCATATAGGAAGCCTTACACATACTAAATTGAAACTGAAAAGAAGGATGTGGACACAGTAGCTTAACTATTAACATGAAGAGCACAGTCCCTGTAAACTATCCAGTGAGATGGTAGAGGTCCCCATATACACAGAGCATCATGCAAATGGGAATGGTTGTTTCAAGACCTCCTTGCTTAGATGAGTTGTAGTCTGTGGTTGCCATTTGGCTTTCCCTTTTGATATGTGAAAAGTACACCCTTTAGTACCCTGATCCAATCTTTAGAAAAGCATATCTTGTTTATGCATATTTGGATTACTTTGCTTAACCCGTTCTTTGGAGAAAGCAATTACTATGAATTATCTACCTTGCTTGAAGTTCATTCTTTATAGTTAATGTCAGGCTCTAGATTGAAAGAAGCTCTAAATACCTAAACTTGCACTGCCCGAGAAGTGGACAAGTGCCAATAAGAAAGAGATTGTGCAGAATAAAACCCCTACAGTTCTTTTGTACCAATTTGCTTATGTTACTTTTTAATGGGATAATGGACATCAAGGCTGAACATCATGAGCTCCTTTCCAGTCCTAGTTTGGAAAGTGAATTGTCTGGGCAAAGAAGTCCAGCCCTAGTAAAGCCCTAGCAAAGTCCTGCCCTGGAGATTTTAGAAATCTCCTGCAAGGAACCACCTAGGCAAAATGGGGCATTGAGTGGAAGAAAGACAATTATGTTGTTCTTTATGTTGCACTTCACAGAAGCAATGGCCCAAAACCTATGAGGCAAAAAATAAAATCTAGTTTACAAATCTTAAAATAGGCTCCCTCTCCAAGCATTTATAAATTTTGCTCACAGTTGACAACTCAATTACTCCTGCATGGAAATGTCTTCTATTAACCGAAATACCATCTAAGGGTTTTGTTAATTACTGAAAGCAAAATGGAATGGTCAAAAAAAGAGCAATCCATTGGGATCTTGGAGTTCTTTAAGAACTTAATTTCCCCAGACCCTTGCAGGTCTATTGCCTCTCTTGGGTTAGCATAAATTATTTGCAGTCCAGATTCAATGGTTCATGTTTGCTATTGCCTGAAAGCCTGACTAACTACTTCCTTTAGCTATTCAGTCACCAGAACTAATTTATAGACAACCAGTATACTGATGGTAAATGCAAACAGTTTCTATACCAAGGAAAGCTATAATAGTTTTCATTGACATAACAAGAACGCCAATTCTCCCACACTGCAGCAGGAATCATACTGGTATTAGCTATCAGCTACACTGAGCTTCATTGGCTGAAAAATGAGATAATGCAATAAATAACAAACAATACAATATAGGAACCATTTCCACATTTCAAAATTACCTTGTAGCACAGGACCATGAACCAAAAACACCAATAATGTTAACGTAAGCCAGAAATGTTACAACATTTTACTAATACTATTAAACTGCCAGAACAAGAGTTAAAGTATCACAAAGTTAGTCCAAGTTTTATAATGTACATCTATGCATATGTACATTTTTAACATTAAAAGGGTGAAAAGTAAAATAGCTTGGTTGTGGGAGGGGGGTTCTGTTGTTTCATTATTAAACTAGGTAACATCACCTGTGCTAAAAGGGAGTGGGTTTTGCTATCTGTTTATATACAGTAGCTGCCCTATGAGTGTTAGTGGGAGTGTTGCTGTTCCAAAGAATTACCAAGAAGAAACTCACTGATCTAGCAGAAGTACAATATTACATTGATTTTCATGGCATAATTTACATTTACAGTACATTTATAGTCAAATCCCATTTTCAGATAGGTTGGGAGTGAAGATGAAAAGTAGCTCTACCAGAGGCTTTTAAGGGGTAACTTACTCTACCTCATTCAAAGTGGAGTTTAATTAACCTTTTCTTACAACTGAAACCTTCCCACGTTTTCTTATTACAGAATATCCATTAAGGATAGATACATGGAATAAGTGTTTCTTGCCTTTCTGTTAGGCATGCTAGGTGACAGCCATATGGAAGCACCCTACAAATTGTGCAAAATTGAATCATATATTTTGCCCAGTGAAGGAACTAACTTTCATAGTGTGACTAGTTAGAATATGCAACGCATCTAGAGAATTGTAAATGAAGGTAAAGCATGTGCTTGAATTGTTTTACAACTATTTGTAAAATAAATAGACCAAAAGCTGTTTAGAGATGTAATATGTAGGCTTTATAGGGATATTTATCTTTACGAGTAACTAAAATAATAGAACCATTCTGACAGTATCTAAAGGTCCACCAGTAGGTAGAACTGAAAAGTAAGGATTTTGATTTCAACAAACTTACCTTCACAGGAAACACCATCTGACAGGAGGACAAAGCCAAGTGAACAAGAACACACAATTTCCCCTTCCACCATATTACAAATGTGCTTGCAGGGACCATTATCTGGGAAACACAATATTTCAAAACACATTGAAAACAATTAAAGTGAATTCCTTTTATATTATAATTATATCTTGGTCATCACATCAGAAAGTAAACATCCAAATAAACCACATACCCCAGAGGTGGGATTCAAATTTTTTTTACTACCGGTTCTGTGGGTGTGGCTTGGTGGGTGTGGCATGGGAAGGATACTGTAAAATCTCCAATCAGAGGTGGTATTTGGCGGTTCTCTGAACTACTCAAAATTTCCGCTACCGGTTCTCCAGAACCGGTCGGAACCTGTGAATACCCTCATATGCTGAATCATTCTTTAGAATATTTCTTTTATTTAAAACACACCTGAGCTAAACTTATCTATGAGGCTGAAATCACTACACACAGCTGTGTTGCACAAACAACTCTAAACAGCTAATATTAAATAACCTTGAGTTTTCAAGTTAACCTTCAATTATGCAGCACATTATCCTCTGAGCTTCTGATTTTCTTTTTTGTCAACCTACTGGAAGCTATTTGGACTAGTATTGAAATAAAAATCACCAAGGAACCTTTTAATGATTTTCAAACACATGAAAAACAATATATAGAGTTGCATGTTCTATGAAATGTATGGCTATATAAATTAGATAAATGAATGAATGAATGAATGAATACTTATCTCCAGCTCCCAATAAGACATACCTTTACATTTATCTTCTTCTACTTGTAAAGTGTTGTTGGTTGCAGGTTGAATATTTAAAGCTTCTGGAGCTGGAATGGCTTTCTCCCCTAAGGCAGTATTTTGTGCATCGTCTTCAAAATCTAAAAAAAGTATATATTACAGAAATATTTTGATTACATTATTTCATATCTTTATATTTCCAAAGAAGATTTTCTTTGGAATATTCAAATAACTCTATAGTTTACTGGGAAACATAGTAATTGAACTCTCACACCTTGTGACATACAAAAAGAAATAACACAAGGATGCTTACTGTCTCATATCTTGTTTATTTTGATCCTTCAAATATTAAATATATAAAAAGACATGAGGATGTGGGAAGCAAAGATTTAACAATAAACTTATAAGTCAAGGGCTTTTGTGGATGACTTGGTCTTGATTTTGGAAGATCCTTTAAGGGGAATTGAAATATTAAAGGGAAAAGTAATAGAAGTTGGTACACCAGCTGGTTTTAAAATTTATAAACAAAAAAATGAAAATTTTAACAAAAAGATGAAAATAGGGAATTGAACAGAACTATTAAATAAAACAGGTTTTCAGATGGAGAAGAAAGTCAAACAGGTGAGTATCACCACGACAAATATTAAAAATGGTAAAACCTCTCCAGTAATGTCCAACTCTAATTGTGTGCTATTTCAAAATAACTATGGTAAGAGATGGAATGAAGTTAAAATGTTAAGATGGGAGAAATTACAACTATCATTGCTGGGGAGAATTTCTATGATTAAATACTAGTTGTTACAAGATGCAAAGGAAATGTATCGTCGATATATGTCACTAGAGACTTTGTCTAGAATGTATAAATGCACTTCAAATTTATGTTGGAAAAGGGCATTGGTACTTACCTGATACGCCTGTTCTCTGTGAGCTGCGAAGAGCATCCAGTGATGGGAAGGTGTTTCAGTCCCTTCTAGGAAGGCTGGGCTTAAACTTGAGGACACTCCTTCTCCTCCACGAGACTCCTCCTTAGCGTCCCCAGTTTTGCAAAGCCGAGGTATTGATACCCTATATGCTTAAGCCTATGTAATAATCCTGGCCGGAACAGACCCCCTACCAGACGGAATAAAAGGGTAGGGCTGGATGCTCTTCACAGCTCACAGAGAACAGGCGTATCAGGTAAGTACCAATGCCCTTTCTCCCGTGAGCTGTTCAGTGCATCCAGTGATGGGACATACCAAAGCTTGGCACTGTCCTAAGGGAGGGACTCCGTCTGGGTTGCAGACCTAACTGTCTCTGAAATAACTTGCGGCAAAACTCGCCTACCAAATGAAGCCTCAGCAGAAGCAAATACGTCAATTTTATAATTTCTAATAAATGGAGATGGAGAAGCCCAGGTTGTAGCTCGGCAAATCTCCTCTATTGTAGCTTGAGTCACCCATGCTGCTGTGGTGGCTGCACTCCTGGTGGAGTGAGTGGTAATGCCTTGGGGCACTTGAATCAAGTGAGAGTCATACAACTTAGCGATGGTGGCCCTTAGTCATCTACCTATGTGGTGAAACCTTGTGCCCCAGGGTGTTAGGCTGAAAGGACATGAAAAGGGCTTCTGTCTTTCTGGGGGGCGCCGTGTGCTCTATGTAGATGTGTAAGGCCCTTCTTACGTCCAAGCGGTGCCATTGGTGTTCAAGCCTGTGTGATGGACGTGAGCAAAAATTTTGGAGCACCATCTCTTGAGCTCTATGGAATGCCGAATTAACTTTTGGAATGAAGGAGGGATCTGGTCTGAGAACCACTCTATCCAAATGGAAAATACAGAGATCTTTGAGCACCGATAATGCAGCTAGTTCGGAGATTCTTCGGGCACATGTAATTGCTATCAGGAAAACTACTTTGTAGGTAAGAAATTGAAGTGTCATGGTTCTTAGTGGCTTGAAGGGACCTGTAGTAAGGGCCAACAGTACCTTATTTAAGTCCCAAGTTGGATATCGGTGCACTACAAGGGACCTCAAGTTCTTGGCACCACGCAGAAAACTGCAAATGCGAGTGTGATTAGATATGGAGGTAAGATCATCCCAAGATATGACCGAAGCCAGGGCTGCCACCTGTCTCCATAGAGTATTGGGTGATAACCCTTTGTTTAGGCCCTCCTGTAAAAATTCTAATAACTGCACTACTGATAGGGAAGTGGGGTCGATCTGAACCCTCTGACACCAACGGCAGAAGCTATACCAGGTGGCCTCATAGATTTGGTTCGTCGAAGGACATCGAGCCGACTGAATAGTATGAATAACTTGAGTAGAACGGTGTTCATCTCTCAGACATAGCCGTTCAACTTCCATATGGCTAAGTTTAGTCATTGGGAGTCCAGGTGTAGCACTTGGCCTTGAGACAGCAATATGACCGATGATGGGATCCTCCACGGTGGTACTGTCGAGAGGTCCTTCAGGTCTGCAAACCATGCTCACCTTGGCCAATAAGGAGCCACTAATAGCAGGTCCGCTTTTTCTTCCAGCAACTTCTGAATCATTTTGGGGATCATGGGGAGGGGAGGAAAGGCGTATAGCAGTCCGGTGGGCCAGTGACATCTGAGGGCGTTCATGTCCTCCACTCCCTGTGATGGGTAATAAGAAATGAACCAGGGAAGCTGTGCATTGAGTGGGGAGGCAAACAGGTCGACTACCAGTAGGCCCAACCTCTGAGTAGCCTCCAGAAAGATCTTGGGGTCCAGATGCCACTCTGATTGGTCTAATGTGGCTCTGCTGAGCCAATCCACTTGTACTTTCACTACTCCAGATATGTGTTCTGCCTTTAGAGAGAGAAGATGGATTTTGGCCCATAGGAATAGTCTTTCTGCTTCCCTCATTAGTAGATTAGAATGAGTGCCCCCTTGTTTGTTGGTATGGGCCTTTGTAGTTATGTTGTCTGTTAAGATAAGCACGTGTTTGCAATGGAGATGCGGGAGGAATTGTCGGAGTGCCAAGTACACCGCTCTCAGTTCTAGCCAGTTGATATTGTGTGTCTTCTCTGAATCTGTCCAAAGGCTTTGTGCTGTATGAGATTGGAAGTGGGGCCCCCATCCCACTAGACTGGCATCTGTTGTAACAATCAACCTGTGTGGATCCTTGAAAGGGCATCCTTTGTTGATTTCGGGTCATGGTCACCAGCGTAGAGACCTGAGAATGGTTGATGGAACTTTTATGAAAGTCCTGCCGTCGTCTCTCCCAGCGCGTTGGTATGGCAACAGGAACCATTGCAGGGTTCTTGCATGGAAATGGGCCCAAGGGATAATAGAAATACAAGAAATCATTTTTCCAAGCAATTTAGAAAGGAGACATAGTTGTACTTTCCTAAGAGTTTTGGTCTGTTGAGCCAAATCTCTAATGCTTTCTTGTCTGTCAGGGGAGAGGAAGACTTTGCCTTCCAGGGTGTCAATGATGGCGCCAAGGTGAATGAGTCTAGTAGAGGGTATTAAATGACTTTTTGACCAATTGATTGAGAACCATGTTGTTATAGGGTTACAAGTGTAGTTTGAGTGTTCAAATTTGCTTGATTGATGGAAGATGCCAGAATAAGAATGTCATCCAAGTAGCATTGAAGTCGGATGGACCTATCTCTGAGTGATGCTGCCAAGGCAGCCGAGACCTTTGTAAAAGTTCTGGGAGCTGAAGCTAGGCCAAATGGGAGAGCAATATATTTGTAATGGATGTTGTAACAGAAACAAAGGAATTTGAAATGTGAGGGCCTAACTGGGATATGTAAGTAAGTTTCGGTAAGGTCTATGGAGGTAAGGACATCATTTTTTCTGATGCTGAGTAAGATCGATTGGAGAGTGGTCATTTTAAATTTTCGGTAAACTAAATATTGGTTTAGACGTTTTAAGTCCAGGATTGCCCTCCATCCCCCCGAACTTTTAGGGACCATGAAGAGGTGTGAATAAAAACCTTTTTGATTAGAAGGGACAGGTTGTATGGCCCGGATCTCTAGTAGATGTGCTATGGCTATGTCCATGAGAAACCTTTTTTCTGTGTCCCTGGAAATTGGGGACTTCATAAAAAAATCCAGGGAGTGGTGGAGCTGAACTCCAGTGCCAGACCAAATCGTACTGTGTTCCTGACCCATGCGTCAGTGGTAGAGGAGTCCCATTGGTCGGCAAACATTTTTAGGCGACCACCAATGGGAATCTCGTTGTGGTCATTACTTGGACCTGCGGAAGGGCCTAGATCCTGTTCCTCAAAATTGTCTCCTAGAATGGAGTTCCCTTCTATATCTGTCCCCAGATTCAATTCTATCTGTCTGTTGTCTGAATCCAGGCTATCTTTGAAATCTTGGATAGTAGGGTTGGTAGAAGGGGTGAAAGGAACCCCTACAAAAGGGCTGTGGTGATCTTGACTCTGCTCGACGAAAAAGAGAGGGAAGAATTTCCTTTTTGGTTCTGGTTTTATATAGGAGGGGTTCAAGCGCACTGCCAAATAGTTTGTTGTCTGAGATGGGAGATGAGGCAAGCCACCACTTGTGCTTGATGTCTGCCTGCCAATGCCTGAGCCAAAGTAACCTTCTAGCCGCAATTTGGGAAGCAATGGCCCTAGAGGAAGAGCCTACATTGAAGGTAGTGACTACCGAAAACTCTGCAGCGGCGATTAATTTAGCCACATCTTGATGTGCCCTAATGTTTGAGGCTGGAATGGTATCCCTCAGGTGGCAGAGGCATCTGAGAGATGATCTGGTAAAAAAGGAGGCCGCTGTGGCCGCTCTGATGGCCCATGCATCCAAGACGTGTGCCCTGTGGAGGGCTAGTTCCACCCTCTTTTCCTCATGCTTGAGAGCCTCTTCAGCTTCACTTGAAATGGCTGAGGAAGATGCAAGACCAATGATAGGCTCGTCCACTTCTGGAGTGTTTAGAAATTTAGAGAACTCAGGTGCCAAATTATAGTATTTTTTATCATGTCCTGTGGGAGCAGGATATGAGGCTGCTGCAGCCCATTGTTTTTGCACTAAATTGGAAAACATGTGTGGCACAGGGATAACCTCTGCCTCAGTGATTGGTTGAGAGAATATGAGATCCTCTGCTTCCCCTGGAGTATTTGGTGGGGGAGGGGTACCCTTATTATCCAGCCGTGCGGTGTTCTTGGCCTTAAACAGCAGG